GGCCTGGCTTGGCGGCTGGGACTCCGGCTGGGTGGCCTCAGTGTCACCGCAGGGGATAGGGACACCCCACCCCCACCCTGGGACCCACTTACCCTGGGGACATCCACCCAGGAGACCCCTACCCCAGGGACCCCCACCCCAGGGACATCCACCCTAGGGACACCCACCTTAGGGACACCCATCCCAGGGACCACAACCCCAGGACACACACCCAGGGGACACCCACCCCAGGGATCCTCACCCTGGTGACACTCACCCAAGGGACACCCATCACAGGGACCCCAACTCCGGGGACATGCACGCAGGGATCCCCACCCCAGTGACACCCACCATGGGGACACCCATCCCAGGGACCCCCACCCCAGGGACATCCACCCCGGTGACACCCACCCCGGGGACACCCACCCCAGGGAGACCCCAGGGACCCCCATCCTGGGGAGACCCAGCCCAGGACACCCTCCCAGGACCAGGGTCAGGAGCAGGAGAGGGGTTGGGATCAGCTTGGGACTGGGACTGGAACCAGGACCACGACTGGGACCAGAACTGGGACTGGGACCAGGATTAGGGTTGGGACCAAGACTGGGACCAGCTCGGGAGCAGGAGTGGGACCAGGACCAGGATTAGGACCAGAACTGGGATTGGGACCAGGATCAGAGTTGGGACCAAGACTGGGACCAGGATCGGGAGCAGAACTGGGACTGGGACCAGCTTGAGACTGGGACTGGACCCAGGATCAGGGGCCACAACCAGGATCAACACTGGGATCAGGATGAGCCCCTGCGTGGTGACCACGTCCAGGACCAGCACTGGGACAGGCCTGGGGACTAGGACCAGGATCAGGACCTTGTCCCAGGCCACGACTGGGACTGGGACTGGTATCAGGACCAGGATAAGGACCAGGACCAGGCCTGGCACCAGGACGAAGGTGGTGACCGTCTCCAGGACCAGGACTGGGACCAGAACCAGAACCAGCCCTGGGACCATGTCCAGGGCCAGAACCAGGACCAAGACTGGGACCACAGCCAGGACCAGGACCAGAACCATGTCCAGAAGCAGGACCAGCCCTGGGTCCTGGCCGCCTCCCAGCACCCAACACCCAGCCCTGGAGCCCCCCAGCACCCAACACCCAGCCTGGACCCCTCCCAGCACCCAACACCCAGACCTGGTGCCCCCTCCCTGAACCCAGCACCCAGCCCTAGGCTCCCCAGCACCCCCAA